TATTATTGGCAATGTTTAATATTATTTGTTCAATTAAAAATTTTAAAATATAGAAGTAGGATTATGGGTCACCTGTAAAAATTTGTCTAGGGCCTCCAAATTTCTAGAGACGGCCCTGGTTACAGTACAAACTTTTATCGAAAAAGCTTGTTATTCAAAACATTCATATGACAACCTCTAACTTTTACATTGCATTATGTTATATTTTTGTTTTTTAACCTTAATATTTAGTCTGTATATTTCAACTCTTAATTTATTTTGAGTTCTACACCTACTGTGGAGGAAAAAACTATTTTAATCATTTGTGAATTAAAAAAATATGTGATCCGTTCATGCAAAGCATTCTATTGTCAACTCCGACGATTACATTACATTCTGTCTTGCACATAAGGAAATCATCATTACCTTCACCATCCTTTTCATGTGATTTTAGTTTCATGGTTTTTCCGCACTTTAAATTCTTATGTTCGACGATTATTTCTTTCTCCAACCGCTGCATATTTTGTTATTCATACAACATGAAATTGTTTGACTAATAATGTTTTTTATTTTTTTATTTGTTATTGCATGAGTAACATCAAAGTTATTTGAAGGAACCCTACCCTACGCTGAGTGGATGTAGTAACATTTTAGGAGGACTTCACAATTGCTATATATTAGTGATAAGTGATTGATTCACGAATTTTGTAGTTTATTTCATTGTAACATATAAATTTAATTAATATAAATTGTTTTCATTTAAGCATATACATGGTTGGAGAATGTAACCGACAAAAAACTCGGATGATAAGGTGTATATGCTCTATAACTTTGAGAGGTACGAACAAAACTAACTTATATTTCTCACTAAACAGTATTGATCATGAGTTTAGCACAAACAGAGTATTAGCAAATCCCAACTTTAATTGTATGATATACATGAGGATTAGAGCATAAATGAAAGAGAAACAACCATTGATCACATGCAAGTAACTTAATGCACAAATTTCATTTTACAAACTATAATCGAATAAATTACAATAAATTGTAATAACATTTTTTAGATGTTCAGTATTTGTAAAAGATTAGTCTACTGTTTCGATTATTATGGATTACTATATGCGATTATATATGTAGCACATTGTTTTTAATGCAAGGATAATGATGCTAGCAAAACTGGAAAGCATAAAAGTAATTGAAGAAATGGAAGGAAAAAAATAACGGTGAATTTGAATTTAATATGAAAACAACACCTTAATTCATATTTCATTTGATGTTTTATACTAATTGGATGTGGCCTGTTTGCTTGGTTTCATTTTTTGTTGGGTTTCGGCCATGTGAGTGTTGTACCGATAAGATCTGTTCTAAAGGCGAGAGTCATTCTTTCAATTCAATTCTGTAGAGCGACAATCCAAATTTTAGGAGCGAAAGCCACATGACTGAAAGGAGGGTCGCGAATAAGAATAAGGTTCATTTCAAATCTGGTCAATAAAATGCTCAAAAACCACTTGGTCGAGTTAGATTCAACTTTTGCACTTATTTTCTTTCAAATTCTTCTTCTTTGACCCTCCACTCTGATAGTGAATATTGTTGGGCTCTGAAATAACTCCTCCATTGATTTCCTTCATGTTTCCACCATTGATGTCCTTCATGTTGCACTTTTGTCCAATGAAATAACTTTTGCACTTTTCCACCATTGATGTCCTCCATTGACCCTCCACTCTTGCCAAAATATATGAAGGCTATGTGTTTCTGTGATGATGGATAGAAAAATAATTGTGGCAAAAAAGTAGTGAATAGATGAAAAATAAATATGTACCAGAAGAAAATGAGGGTAGAGACATATAATAGATCAATATATATATATAATTAAAAACTGAGTAGTAAAATCAAAAAAATCTTTAGAAGTTATACGTAATCTGGTTGTTGAGGAAAATCTGGTTAGTAATAATACTAAATCAAATTATTTAGGTAATGTAATATATTATTTCAAGTAAAAGTCCCCCTTAATCGCAACCAGATTTTTATCTCTAGAGACAGACAATCAGATATTTTCTGAAACTGTATTTTATATTCAATTTTACTAAAATAATTTAGAAATGGCTTATATTATACAACGTGTCTATTTATATAAATAGAAAAACAAAATATCGGGGGTATCTAGATTTTTTTATTAAACATGAATCTTTTCATAATGCACATCTAATATTAATATAGGAGTGTTTAAAGGATCAAATTTTCGAAATGTGATTTTCAATAAATATTATAATACTTGTCAGTTATTATGGTCAAAACTATTAATGCCCAATTACGTCTTAGGTTTAACTAAAAGTCTAATCTCATTTTGATAATCGATTTTGCATCTAATAGATAAGTATATCATTTTGAAAGTATAGTAAGAATCGGATTTTGCCAAAATTTTGTGGAAAATGAGATTGTTCAACAAAACATGCACTGATTCTTTTTCTTTTACCAAAAAAATGATACTACTAAAAGATCGAAAAAATGGTTAAGAAAAAGAAAAAAGAATCCACAATTGTAAGGTAACATCAATTTTTTTATAGAAAATGTAACATCAATTTTGGATAGAAAAAGAGAAAGGAATCCACAATTGTTAGGTTACATCAATTTTCAAAATATGCACTTTTTTTCCTTAAAAACATGATTTGAAATTGATCTGCATCTACTCCCGTTTTTTCTCATAAAATTCTATTAAATTGATTTGAATATAACTCATCAAAGCTCACGTTTGTAAATTAAACAAACATATACGTAGTTTAGTGTGTATTTTTGAAGGAATAAATCCCTTCAATTAAGGGATTTTGTTTCTTTAAACTATATAAAAAAAATATCTCCGCAATTTTAAAATTTTCAACTATCTGGTTAAACTCCTACCGTCGCACTTTTTGGTGCAATTTCAAAATTTTCAACTATCTGATTAAACTCCTACATCCATTATTTTTGGTGTCCAATTTAACAAACTTATACAAATTCTATTTAATATTGTAGGTGACATCTTTTTTTTAAAAACAAATTTGCCATTAATGGCAAGTAAGTAATGATGAGGGAATTTGACCAGATAGTTGACCTACTATTTTTGATAAATATTGGTAAATCTTATTATATAAGTATAGATTTCTATAAAAGTGTCTGATTTGGGAGAATTCCAAAATTATTCCTTTCATTCCAAAACATAAAGATAATAATTAATTATAACGGTCAATAGTAATTACAAACAATTAATTAAAAAATTAAACTAATAACTAATTACTCACTCTCATCCTCTTTTTTTTTCTCTTTCTTCTTTCTCTCTCCTACTTCTATTTTCCCGTTTTCTCTTTCTTCTTCCTTTTCCTTCTTCTTTCCTTCTTCTTCTTCTTCTTCAAACATTGAAGAAATCTTCAAATATTGAAGAAATGAATATCTACAGAGAGAAAAAAAATTGATCAAAAAATTGTACATACAAAATTATTTCAAAAGTAGGTGGACAATCAATCATGTATGTGAACCATGTATGAAAGGGAAAATAATAAAAAATAATAAAATTTTGTTTCCAGGAACAAACAAAAAAATAATATAACACCAATCAATCAACATAAAAATAACATAAAAACAATTGTGTGTATATAATTTAATAACAAAATACCCACCTCGGCATCCGTCAAATTAAACCCAGATATCTTAAAAATCTGCAGCTTCAAATCCTAACCCTTTCACAATTTCGTCAAATCCGAGATAGCTTTTTCTATATCTATCGTTTCAACTTTTACTAGTTTCATGATTTTACCTTTTTCCACTTGTGTGTACCCAATTAACATCAAGATCTGCACTTGACCAAAAAAAAAAGGGAAAAGAAAAGAAAGAAAGACCAAAAAATACGAATCATGGAAAGAGAAAAAAAAAAGAAAACACAAAAGTGAAGCAAATACGCACCCAAAAATTGATTTTTTTTGCGAATTGCAGTAGAGTATTTGCGAACACCACTTGAAACGATCCCGACCCGTCAATTTCCAGTCGCCGGTGGCGGTTCGCACCATCGATCAATCACCCAAATCCGCACCCCTGCTGAACCTCCGCCTCGAACAAAGCCCATCTAGTGATCCATCGTCGAGTTCTTTTAAATTCGAAGATCCTGTTACAAGGGAATAAAAACAAGGAAAAAAGAAATACAAAACGTAGAATGAAAAAAAAAAAAAGAATGAAGAAGAAAAAAAGAGATTACAGAAGATAATTGAAGAAGAGATTAATTGAGTTTTGTTAGGCTATGTTTGGTAAAATTAGCTGATAAGCTAGTTTATAGCTTATCAGTAATTTTTTAGCTTATAGCTTATAGCTCATGACTTATTGCTGAAAAGCTAGCTTATATGATAAAAGTGTTTGGTAAAATTAGCTGATAAGCTAGCTGAAATAAAAATTTGAACGAGCTTATTTGAAAAGCTACCCAAAAAAGCTTATCAATAAGCTCGAGCTTTTTTAAAAAGCTCGTCCTACCAAATGGAGCTTATTTAAAAACAGAGAGCTTATAAGCTAACTAAATAAGCTATAAGCTAGCTTATTTGTGTACCAAACACAACCTTAGAGGACTTGCGTTTTTCTCGTCAAAGCGTTTTTTTTCTTCCTCAAAGCTTATCTGAAACGGAATGCCTAATATATTTCCCTTTATTTAATAATAAAAAAACTGCCACCCAAAAAAATAAATAAAGCCAATAAGGGCATTAAATGGGATTAAATTAGAAACTAAAGAGGCAATTTTGACTTAATGTTAAACAAATGCATTAACGGAAACAATTTTTTAGAAAGGGATGTCCTTATTTCGGCACAATTGTGATCATCCACTCCACCCGTCCGCCGTCTTCTTTTCTTGTCTACATTTTTTTTTTCGTATTCTGCTACCTATTTTTTCCTTTTTAATCGGTTACTTCTATTTCGATTTTGTATCATTAGATCAAGAAGCCACATAAGAGCTTCGGTCGAAAGCGAGCACTGATCATGGGGGGAAGAACTCTAGTCAAGACCCGTGGATGGAGGAGCAAGGATGTTGGAGAATAATTAGAAAATCATGTTTCTTGTATTTTTGTTTTGATTTTCAAACTTTGAATGCATCTGAGAAATTTTTCATGTTCTTCAACGTGCAGATTTATATTAATGAAAATGTTCACAAGAACTGCAAAGCCGTTAGAACCGGTATTGGTTTACCGGTTCAATCGATTTTTGACCGGTTCGCACGGTTCCTGACCGGTTTGGGCATCAAACGGTTCAATTCATGTAACCGGACCGGTGCAAAGGCCGGTTCCCGGTTGAACCGACTGGTTCGGTCCGGTTTTCAGAACATTGGTGATATCCTCTCTTTATACAAATGCAGACTCTTTTGAGCTATGTATCAACTCTTGGTACTTCATAATTTTATGTGTCCGATTGTTGTGCTACTTACTTTTATATGTGTGATTTGGATTAATCCATGTAGATCTGGACTTCACAATGCCTTGAGTCTAATTTTCCTACATAACATTTAGATAAACATGGACAAAATTATATAAAATTAACACAATTTACTCAAGTAGAGACCCTGTTATATCATTCATAATGTTTTTGGTCTAATTTAGATAAACCCAAGTCTTGGAATGACATGGATAGATAATTAATAACACAATTCACTCAAATGCAAAGAGACCAGGTCTCTACTTGAGTCTAAAATAGACTTAAGGATAGACCGAGTCTCTTTTTTATTAGTGCCACATCAGCAAGACCTTATCAAATTACACTTACATTGAAATATATATAAGGGTTAATTGCCAAATAAACCTCGACCTTTTCACTTTTGGCAATTTAATCCAAACTTCTACATAATTGCAATATAATCTGTACCTTTTATAACTTTTGCAAAATCGACTTAAAACCCGTCGGACAGCCAAAACATGCCATCGTGTCCGGCAAGATGCATCTACGTGTAATTTTCAGTTTGCTCAGTCAGATTAATTAAACACGTGGAATTTCGTATGAAAGAAGTATAGAAACCCGATCCCCTTCCCAATTTCAGACTTTCCCAAATCAAATTAACCCGTCTTCAGAGAAAAATCAATCTCGACAAAAAAAATCAAACCCTAAAACTGAAATTTTGTCTCTGTATCAAGAATCCGCAACAAAGTTGTCCCAATTGCATGCGAGTTTGTGTTTCTGCGTTCCAGATTTCTTGTCGTCCTGCGTTCGAGAGTCGTTATATGTCGGGAAGATGAAAGACAGATGCGCTATTCTTTCTTTCTTTCTTCTGCAATTTTTATTTCGATATCTCAAGAGTCTGGTCTTATGTTTAGGATTCGATTAGAAATTACATTTATTCTCAGAAGTTAGGTTTTTTGTTTGTGAAATTAGGGTTCTTTTTGGGGAAATTAGGGATTTTCTGAACAATTACGTTTTTTTGGGAAAACTAGGGTTTTTCTAAAAAAATAGGTTTTTTGGGAGAAATTAGGTCTTTTATGAACAATTAGAGTTTTTTTTGTGGGAAATTTAGAGTCTTATGCAATTCACTTGTTCCTATTATCTTATTTATTCATATGTTTGCATTGCAGTGGAAAATTTTCAATTTTTGTAAACTATGGAGGCCAGTTCATTAAATGTGGAACTTCTGTTGAGTACTTAGGTGGTAAATTCAAGACAGTTCATGGTTTAGATGTGGATCGGTTTGGGTATTTTGACTTAAAAGAAGAAGTTGAGAAAATGGGGGTTGAAAAGTTTGAAAAACTTGTATACAGAATACCAAAGATAAATGGAGCAGATAGGTTTAAAGATGTTGTTGATGATACTGTAGTTATGGAGATGATTAGCCACGCTACTAAGGGAAGAACATTATTAGAGGTTTATGTGGTTGGAGAAGTTATAGAGGAAGATAACAGTGAAAATGAAGCTAGTGTTGAAAGTGCACCAAGGTCAGAGGAACAATTTGATGTTGATTCATATATAGATAATTTCTCTGATCCAAAGAATCCTAATGATGTGGATTTAGAAGCTGAGTCACAGAAAGATGGTGATGTTAATTTCTTTGATCCAAAGAATCCTAATGAAGTGGATTTAGAAGCTGAGTCACCGAAAGATGGTGATGTTAATTTCTCTGATCCAAAGAATCCTAATGATGTGGATTTATTAGCTAAGTCACAGAAAGATGGTGATGTTGATACAGAAGTGAGGAATAACCTAAAAACTCCACAGTTGCATACTTCCAATGTGGGTGACTGTGAGGTTGGAAGTGGGTCTGGGGATGATAGTGAGGATGAAGAATATTTTCCTGTTGATGAAAGCTCATATGATGATGAACTTTCTGTTGATGATCTTGCTTCTGATGATGATGGTGAATATCTTGAGGCAGGACAGAACCTGAAGAAGCATAAAAAGGGGATATTAGAAGATGATGAAGAACGTGCAAGACAACATGAAGTCAAAGAAGGCCATTGAGATGGACAATGAAGATTCTGGGTTTGTAGATTGTGCATTGGTATCTGAAAATTCAGGTAGTGATTGGGAAGTGGATGAGGATGGGAACTGTATAGGTAGAAGGAAAATAGTTACTTATGACCCTAAATGTGAACATAGTACTCTTGAGTTTATGTTGGGGATGAGATTCATAAGCATAGAAGAGTTGAAAAAAGCAGTTAGGAATGTAGCAATTATTCAAGGGAGAGACATACAGTTTCTGAAAACTAGCAAAAAACAGTTGAGAGTGAAATGTGTTGATGGTTGCCCTTGGACCTTGTATGCAAGTTCAGTTATGAAAGAGGGCAGTGTGGCAATTAAATAATTCAACAAGGAGCACAAATGCCATAGAAATGTCCACACCAGACAAGTTACATCAGAGTGGATTGCTGAGGTGGTTCTTGAAAAATTCAGGAAGAATCCAAACATGTCCATTACCTAAATGGAAGAAATAATATATGAGAAGTATGCAGTACAACCTACAAAGTAGAAGCTTTATAGAGAAAAGTGGAGGGCTCTTGAGATGCTTAGAGGTTCAGTAGTTGGCCATTATGCTTCTCTGAGAAGTTACATGGCAGAGTTGTTGAGGGTAGACAGAGATGGAAGGTTTGAGTTTCTTCGTGGTGAAGAAACAACATTCAGAGGTTTCTATGTGGGATTTAGTGCACTGAGAAAAGGTTTCCTTAGTGGCTGTAGGCCCATTTTAGGATTTGATGGGTGTTTCTTGAAGACTTTTATAGGTGGGGCTTTATTGTGTACCATAGCCAAAGATGACAACAATCAAATATACCCTGTGGCTTGGGCAGTTGTTGAGACAGAAAATGAGGAATGTTGGAGGTGGTTTCTAAGTATTTTGTTTACTGATCTGGGAATTAATGATGGCCTTGGATATACTTTCATGTCAGACCAACAAAAAGTAAGTTATGTCTCTAATTAATTTAAATTTTGTGAATTACTGAATTTTTCCACTTTAATCATATCTGAAATTGCATATTTTCAATTTTTTTTCCTTTTGTAGGGTCTTCTGAATGCATTGAGAGATTTGGCCCCACATGCTGAGTACAGAAACTGTGCAAGACATATATATATGAACTGGAAGAAGAGTTTCAAAGGGCTTACACTGAAAACCATTTTCTGGAAGATTGTGCTCAGCACTCACTTGGGGGACTACAACATATATTTGGAAGATTTGAAGTCTGAAGATCAAGATGCTTATGAAGATTTCATGGACAAAGATCCTACCAAATTCTTTAAGGCTTACATTTCTCCATTGTCTAGATCTGATATGATTGAGAACAATGTGAGTGAAACATTCAATGGAATGATTGTCAAGGGTAGAAGTAAGCACATTATTGAAATGCTTGAGTTTGTGAGAAGTGAGTTAATGAAAAGACAACATGATAAGTTGTTAGGACTTAGTGGGCATACATATCAAATTTGTCCTAGAATAAGAAAGAAGTTAGAGCACAACAAATACATGTCTAGGCACTGTTTGACAAAGCCAGCTGTTGGTGAAAGATTTGAGGTTGTGCATGAGGATGATCAGTTTGTTGTGCACTTGAAGAACAAGACATGTACATGCAGATATTGGGATATTACAGGCATACCATGTGTACATGCATGTTCTGCAATACATTTCCAACATCAGGATCCTGTAGAGTTTGTGTCTGATTATTACTCAGTTGAGAGGTATTTGTAGTTGTACAGTTTGTCTTTAGAACCTATAAATGGGAAGAAATTGTGGCCAGTTGCACAGGGTTATCCTATTCTTCCTCCTCCTTTAAAAAAGATGCCAGCAAGGCCAAAGAAGAAAAGAAAGAGAGCACCTGAGGAAGAAATGAATTGTGGGACTAAAGTTGAGGAGATTTGGGTTGACTATGACTTGTCAAAGATGTTTTCAAAAAGGGCACAATAAGAAATCATGTTCTAATCCTCCAGTGGAAAAGCAACCAAAGGTTACAATTTTCTATTTCAAGTCTTATTTAATCGTGTTGTGATAATCATCAAGTTGAAATTAATGTCTATTTATTTTGTTAGAATCCAAGGGGGAGGCCCAAGAAGATTGTTGGATCACCAGTTGAAAACATAAGTTCATTGTCCAAAAAGAAGTCAAGGCAACAGTCATGGCAACAGTCAAGGCCACAGTCAAGGCAACAGTCAAGGCCACAGTCAAGCCAACAGTCATCTTTAACTCAAAAGGAAAGAGCTATGGTAATAGCATTTTATTTTATTAAATTTTAATTGATATTTTATTGCATAAATCAGTCTGTTTGTGTGATGATTTATTGTTATATTTGTTTTTAGGCAAGAAAGAGATTTGGTATCCTTCAGTCTGAGGAGACTGGTAATACCTACATGAGGGTATGTCTATTACCTTAATAGCTTTCTTTCTTATCTTCCTCATTTTTGCAATCTCATGGCTGGTTTTATACTTTTATACTTATTTTTCTTTATTATTTAAAATGTCACAAATGCAATTGGCATCAGAAAGAAGAGTACATGTCATTTCTGACAGAGGTGCTGGTTCTAGTAAGACTGGAGGAAAGGGGAAAATGCAAAAGGGGAGGAAGACTAAGGATGCTTTAGGCACTCAAGAGAGTGTTGCTCGCAAGGATGATTAACTTTGATTTATTTTGGAGTGTTGTTGATTTTTGGAGTACTTTTGAACCATGGATGTTTGACTTAGATTTACTTTTGGAGTATGGTTGATTGTAGATGAACTTTTGCTTTCTGTTTTAGGCACTCAAAATGGTTTACCAATGATGGATAACTTTTGTGAATGTAATGAAGTTGAATTATGTTGGGTTATGATTTGAACAAAGAATGGTTGTTGAAAGAACTTAGTAATGATTTTGGAGTGCTGTTCATTTCAGATTTCTTCTTTAGATGCAATGTTTTTGTTCTGTCAAGTATGTGATGTTGTTTTAGAAGTAAGCAGGTTTGGGTATTTTGTAGTGTTGTTGTAATGTTTAGAGGGTTGGATGATTGTAATGTTGATCTCAGTGTCCTATAAATGTTGTGTTGGTTTGTTATGTTAAGTATGTGATCTCAGTTAGCTTAACAAAATTCTATCTAATAAATTGCAAAACATAACAAAAAAGGACAATAACAATGAGATAAACCATAACAATAGATTACATTATCTCTTAAGTTCAATACATCCACAAAATGAGATAAAAACTGAACAATATTCAAACCAACATGTTAGGCCTCTGCTCATGACTAGATTTCCCAACCATAATAAGGAAAAAAATCATCATAACCACAATCAAGCAAAACATTACAACATTCATCTTCCTTTCCAGTTTTTGCATGAGACCTAATGTATCTTTCATAACCAGCACGACTTCACTGTTCTTCCGAATTTCAATCTCAAGATCATTCAGTTTTTGTTCAAAATCAATCTCACGGTCCGCAATTTCATCTCTTTCCAATGCCTTTCCACTGTACATTTTCTCCACTGCAACCTTACCCCTCAACTGCTCTTCCAAATACTCTTTCTTAGATTTCAACTGCAAAAAACAATATTTTTGGAACTCAGAAAGTTCGGGATCAATCCATTGGAAAAAACCGCAGTCCGTCCCTTCCTAAACAAAGTAAACCGAAAAATTAGGTTTATGAAATTTGGGGATTTTGAAGAAAAAAATCGAAAAAGCCGCGGTCATTCCCTTCTTAAACATTATAAAAAAATTAGGGTTTATAGAAATTAGGGTTTTAATTCGGCTTATGAAATTTGGGGATTTTGAAGAAATTAATGTTCTCACAAAATATACGTAGCTCACCTTTGACGTAGCACATCTATAGAACCTTCTACATGGGTTATCGTCCGTCTTGGAGCTATACACATTGACTACCTTGCGATTGGGACAGCGACAGATCTTCGAAGGAACACTGAAGCTTCTAAAACTGTGGCTTGCGCGAGATGAAGACGACATTTTCCACTAGCAGGATCGTGGCTTGCTTGCTCGAGCTATCGTCTGCCAAAAGAGAAGAGAAAAAAAAGAACTTTCAAAAGAAAAATGTCGGGATAGTTAGGGTTGGGAAATTTGTGAAATTGGGGAAGAGAATGGACTTTTATACTCGTTTATGTGAAATTCCACGTATTTTATCAAAGTATTACTGAGCAAACTGAAAATTACACGTAGATGCATCTCGCCGGGCACGCTGGCATGTTTTGGCTGTCCGACGGGTTTTAAGTTGATTTTGCAAAAGTTATAAAAGGTACATATTATATTGCAATTATGTAGAAGTTTGGATTAAATTGCCAAAAGTGAAAAGATCGAGGTTTATTTGGCAATTAACCCTATATATAATAATGATATATATTTACCAATTTAGCCTTCATACCGTGTATAGTTGTTTATTGTGTTTTATTTTCGTGTGTTTTATGTGTTTTAATGTAGTCTTTTTAGGTTCGTTTTGGTGTCAACTGGTTCATTTTATCGTGTTTCATGTATTTTCTTTGTCTTTCTCTCTATTATATTTTTGGAGTACTTCTTCGTGCTCTTGGGTGTATTTTCAGGTTTATTCCGTGGATGAAGAGAAGAATCGAACTGAATCCCGGGAGCCGAGAATTCCGAGTTCTCCAAGTCGTTGCCGAGAAATTTCTAGCCATGTCGTACGAACCATTCCCATCTCGAGTATGTCAAGCCATGCGATCAAAGTGCCAAGCTGCCCCGTGTTCGCGACCTCGCGGAAGACCCGGTGACCTCGCGAGTGTCACAGCGCCGCACTCGCGCCCACCGGACTACACCGCGACCTCGCGAGTGTTTCAGGAACATCCCACGCCTCGCGGACGAGCTCGAGAGCTCGAGAGTGTCCCTGGATTACACGTCCCCGCGCGCGGAACCACTCGCGATGTAGAGAGTATTCTGCCCAGCATGCGTCTGCGCCCGCGAAGTTCCTAGCGAGGTCGAGAGTACCGATTTCCCTCGCGCCACACCAGACCTTCCTCGCGCCGCCCTCGTGCCAACTGATGCCCGCGCCCGCGGAAACCTTCGAGACCTCGCGAGTGTTTTAGTAATTGTGCGTGAGATTAGTGTGTGTTTTGAGCTGGACTATAAATACATTTTGGCCCTTTGAATTTTGGGCATCTAGATTTCATTTTTTACTTTCCCACTTTGGGAATATCTATTTTCTTTTTAGTTTTCGCTCTTCTCTCTCTTGGGAGCTCTATGACATCATTTTCCGGCGACTCTTATTTTGTTCTAGTTCCGAGCTTTTGACTCCGATTTTCATCTAGCACGCAATAGAAGATTGGGTATTTGCTTTTAAAGCTCTTTACTTCGATTTTTGCCTCGTTTTTACTTATGAAGATTTTCAAGGTAATTTTGAGTGTTTGCTTGATGATGGAGGAGATGTTTGGACTTGCTCTTGCTCTTGCTTGTTTTAGTAGGGATTAATTGCTTGCCTATCTAGATTAAGGATTAGAACTCTATTTAGAGCTTAATACTTAGGTTAGAAGGTTAGGGTTAGTAACCTAGTGCTTAGAACTTGCAAATTGTTCATAGTTGAATTCATTTGGTGTCGATGACATAGAACTTGGGTTAGAAGGTTAGGGTTAGTAACCTTCATTTGTGTTCTCCTGTTTTGAATTCATTTAGTTGAATTCATTTGGTGCTTAGAACTTAGGTTAGAAGGTTAGGGTTAGTAACCTAGTACTTAGAACTTGCAAATCGTTTCAAAAAAAAAAAAATCATGTGTTCTCCTGTTTTGTTGGACATTCAACAATATGTAAATCGAATGCGTGAGAAAACTGAAAAATATAAGTACAAAATACATTTAGAAATCATTTACTAAAATCTTATAGATATAACTACCACAATACTATAATAGAATTGATATCTCAATATTAATAACAAATAGCTTCGATTTTCTATTCATTTAGCAATGGGTCATATACAAAAAATAATCCATTCAAGTAGTTCAAAAATATCATTTGACTTTATCAATAACGGCACTGAACCATTTTCTTAAAAATCCATATTGCGATTAACAATATCATAACAAATCTCATATAAATCAATAGAATTTAAGAAAATTTTTAAAATATTTATATTATACATTATTATGAATTATAATAAAAATAAAATAATATTGACGTAATTAAAAATTAATAAATTTTTTAACTTCAAAATAATATATAATACAAAACCTTTTTCAATTAAGTTGGTTATAATATTTGCCACAAATTTTAAACTTTAGCATAACTTATTTAAAAATTAAATAATATATTGTAATAAGGTATGGGTTTGGGAAGAGAGAGAGAGAGAGAGAGAGAGAGAGAGAGAGAGAGTTTATGAGAGAATTATTGACAATGTTTTAATATGTTAACTTTTTTATTATCCTTAATTATAAACAAAAACTTTAAAATGACAATTATTTTATAACAAGTGAAATAAACATATAACTCATATATTAAATTATTATACATCATAAAATAAAATAAAAATTAATATTAATATTCAGAACTATTTTTACACTAATCGACATTCCTTCATTGCTTTAATACATACAATTTATAAATATAGTGTCACGTGCATCGCACGAGTTATGTACTAGTATGCATAAAAAGACATGACATTTTTCCTGTTTTACAATTTAGTCACAACTTCTAAACAATGGCAATTAAAGACATTAATTTAGGCTATGTTTGGTAAAACTAGCTGATAGCTGATAAGCTAGCTTGTAGCTTATTTGTAATTTTTTAGCTTATAGCTTATAACTTATGACTTATAGCTGAAAAGCTAGCTTATATGATAAAAGTGTTTGGTAAAATTAGCTGATAAGCTAGCTGAAATAAAAAAATCAACTAGCTTATTTGAAAAGCTACCTAAAGTAGCTTATGGGATAAGTTCGAGCTTTTTAAAAAGCTCGTCCTACCAAACGAGGCTTAATTGAATACAAGAAGCTTATAAGCTAACCAAATAAGCTATAAGCTAGCTTATTTGGCTTACCAAACACAACCTTAATCTACTTTTGCAAATCAAATCTAGTCTCTAATTTCCAGCTAAAGAGAGTGGATGTGGAGTTGTAGGCAATCCTACAAGACATCCCAGTAGATTAAAAATCATCCAAACTCATCCTACCGTACCACGTAACCTCCTCTTTCACATCTTTGAGCTACAGTTGCGTATCTGTCGCGTTAAATTTTGATTAATGTTTGTCCCACATCAGATATATACTAAAGATGCATATATATATATATATATATAGGATTATTTTTGTATAAATAAGCCTCTTGCCTTTGAAATACTCTTACACCTTATTCTCTTCTTTAATATCATAGAAATGATCCTTAATCAAGGAAATTCTAATTTGTGGGTTATTTAACCCTATTTGTATTTTATTGGCCAAACTCCATTATCAATTTTGTGTGTTCTTTATCTTTCACGTCTTTTATTTATTTATGTTGACTTATTTTTGTTAGTAGTAGTGCTTGTCATTATTTGTTGTGGGGCTATTTTTGTCTGCTATGCTTGTTGAGATACCTGACAAGTGGTATCAAAGCCCACAGTTCGTCCAAGGCTCATTCGGAGGGGCGAGCACTACAATAGAGTTCGAGATGGCCAAGAAGATCAATGACGCATCATCCTCTGTACTCATTCCGACAAGGACGGTGATGCCGAACATCACACTCTCGGTGGAGATCTTCGATAGAATCGGTCATTTCAGCATGTGGCAACGCGAGGTGTGAGATTGTATATTTTAGTAACGCGAGTGTGCTGGATGCGACTGGGCTGTGGACTTGCTAGGTCGCGGAAGGTGGTTGGCTGGCGAGTTCGCGTGCAGCTTGGGCACTCGCGAGGTAGGCGACTTTTTGCAGGGCTCGAGCTTGGTCGCGAGTTTTGTAGGTGGCTTGACGTGAAAAATCGCATGGTGTACTGGGAAACTTACCCAGGTTGCGAGCTTTAATTAACGTGGGATTCGCAGGCATCGGCAGACGACAGGCTGGGCGACTCATACAGGACTTCCTCGATGATGCGTGCGGAACTTCCTAGGGGACGCATGTGTGGATGGATGGGCGTTGAAGAGTGGCTCTCGGTTGCGTGGGCACGGTAGTTGCAATCGAGCCTCGACGACGTCGCGCAAAGCACGCTAGGTGACGTACGTAGGTGTTGCGGGCGAACCTTAGCGACGTCGCGCAAACGCGCTGGGTGACGCGCGCGGGTGCTATGCGGTGTGGGTTAGGCCTATGTGTAGGCGTCGACTGCGGTTGGACTCGGGTCCATCGGTCGCTGACCGGGCCGACCAGTTGGGAACTTTTCGGCGAGTTTCTGGTGACATTGCAACAACTTTTCCTTTAAGTATTTCGATGATTTTCAAGCGGCGTCAAGCATATTTCCGAAAAGTATTTCTCTACAAAATAAAATATAAAAAGAGACAAAAAATACACAAAATACTAAGACGAAATGAAAATATGTAAACGAGCAAAAACGATTAAATGGACCGAAAAACCCCAAAATAAACTAACGAACACAAATTAATAACTAAAAACATATAAAGCAACAAAAAAAATATACAAAACAACGGGGAGAAGATCGTGGTGGTCGCCGCCGCCAAGCAATTAGGTTATTCAAGAATTAAGCACTTACATTTCCCTTCTCAGAATTTTCAGTAGATTTAATTTTTAATTTTTATTTCTATGCACATAAGCTTTTTCCAAAAAGGAATCCTAGCCACATAAGCTTTTTCCACTACCTATTTCTTATTTGTTTCATGTCAACGAGGTCAGTAAATAACATGGTATGATTTTTGAGAGTGCAACAACACATTTCGGTCACCGAAAATGTTGGTTTTTGCTTCGGTTTGCAAAATGTGATAAATTGGGGTGTTTAATTGCTAAATGTAATATGTGATAGTTAAATTGCAATACAATGAAAACGGATGCCATTTTATGCAATTTCTCCTTTAAAATTATACAACATTAAGATGTGTCTACTAATCATTTGTCAAGATCATCTTGTGATCTTTGAACGCTATATTCATCATGTATGAAATGTTAATCTCTAACGATATCAGCTAACTAGATGATTAACTCGTGTGCCTAGGAGAAGTACTATACATGTGCAATGCGAGCTAGTACCAACTAAATCAATGGTGTATCTTTACCATTAGAATTAGAAGTCTTTGTCATTTGAATTTAAACCATATATGGTAGACTTCTTAGGTCAAAAAATGCAAATAATTAATGGATTATTTAGAATGATCTCATTCTTTCCCCGATAGAACGAGTTAACAAATTTCCTCCTATCTAAAGTTTAAATTGTCTTTTTGTACACAAAAAAAAAAAAAAAATTTAAATTGTCTTTGTATGATATTATAATTGGTTCGATTTAATCTTTCTACATTTTTTGGGATTTTGCTCAAGTACACACCCGTAGCCATATCCTGACTTCGCATTCATAATTAGATGTGTTAGAATATAAATATACAATTATTTGATAGTTTTTTTTATCTAAATATTATTGCACATTTATCTTTTATATCAATAATCTTATTATACCCATATACTAGATGAATATCAAATATTTCACCCCGGGTGGTAAATATTGGTCAGGTCAACATCGAGGTAAAGAAGTTTCTATTATCATTTATCCATTAGTATTTTGACCACTTGTAAGTAAAAAAGTATAGAATTTTGCAACGGTTCTTTGGGGAGAAAAGAATAAAAAAAAAAAATATTAAAAGAATGAACGGGTAAAAAAGTGGGGTTTATTACGTGTTACACTATGATTCCTACACCTTTACACAAGGTCGAAAAGACCACATCATTTCACCTTTCTTTGCTTGTCATGCTGGACACACTAATTACCCATTATATTTTAACAGCCATAATAGTGATTTTCATTTTTTATTTTTCTACATAAAAGAGGAAAATATTATAAAGAAGCCAGAGTCAAAGTATAAAGTAACACAGAGGAAAAAAGGTCAAATAACGTTAAAATTTTGAAATATGTAGATGCTAGGATTGACATTGACAATATAATTTTGCTCTACACTAATTTGACTTGTAATAATTTAATAATGCTGAATCGATTTTTTTATTTTTTTTTCATTTTAATGGAATATTTATCTCCAAAATTATGAGTTAGATCTAATTTTAAGTGTGCTCGCATTTTAAAAAATAAAAAGAAAAAATATTTAAAAACATATAGTGCAAAAAATCATGATAAATTTTGTAATAACCACCCCTAATTTATCGTTGATTTACTTTTAGTTTCCCATCTAAGTTGTGTCATAATCAAGTTGAGGAAAAGCAAACAATAATATGGTCCCCACCTGATTAATTTGGCCTATGTGCACTATTAAAACAACCTTAATTCACTATTTAAAAAAAACAATAATATATTCTTTCTACACTTTTGATTTGGAATCGATCGTTAGGTTTAAAGACTTAAGTTGAGAGAGAGATACCCCACAAGCCCACCAAAAGGAACCCATTCATAACAGTTGTAAATTATTTTGTTAGGTTTTCCTTTTTTTATTTTGAAAAACAAGCAATGATTAAAACATAATGGATATGATGAACTATATAGGGGTCGTGCTATGTGTGGGCCGAAAACTTTTTAGTGTGTGTGAGTAACTAAGTGGGTGTTTGGATATTGATTTTTTAAATTTTGAAACCATTTGCATGCAAATCTTCAGGGTTGGTGAGAATGAATATGGTCATCTATAGTAAACTAGGCCACTTTATCCGACTCCTAATAATTTTGATTTTTGAGCCGATTTTTTTTTTTACCTTTTCTATATTGTTCAAATTATTTTGTTTAATTAGGTGTAGTATTTTTATTTCATTTAAGTTTAAAAATGAAGTATACAAAATCCACGGAATAAAGTAATCCCGCAAAGTATTATGTATGTCACTATAAAAAAGTTGTTATATTCTAATGGAAAATCCTACGATAATATATTCCAACGGATATTCCAATGGTATAACTTCTGTTGGAATGATTTTGGCGAAAATTTCAACGAAAATATTGCGTTGGAATGACTTTTCCATTAGAATTTTAGATGGAATTTGATGATTCCAACAGCTATTTTTTCAACGGTTTTTTTACCGTAGAAATTTCAGTTGGAATATGCAATTTTCCGTTGGATTTTTTATTTCCACCTCCGTTGGTAAATCTACCGTTGGAATCGTCAAAATCCAACAAAAATTATAAAAGAAAACTCGTTCCAACGGAATATTTTTTTTTTTAGAATTTCCGTTAGAATTCCATTAAAATATAGTAGTATTGGAACTTCTGTTGGAATTTCATCATTTTGTTGTAGTGTACAGAAATATAGACTTTATATATTTTTTTTTCAACCAATATATCTAATTTTATTTCATAAAACACATTCCTACATTTTTTTCCCCCAAAACCATAGGGACATTCCTACGTGAGCACTCCTCCGAATAAATACTAACCCCGTCCACCTGCGGCTGTGAGCAGCTCCGTGGCGGCCGCAGACCAGGCCCAATTAAAATCCGTCCCTGCGTGCGCGCTGTCGACGCCCGCAGACCACCCGTGCCAGCGCCCACAAACACGAGTGCCAGAGACCCGTGACAACTTAGGCGTGCCCAGGAGCAGTGCCCGCGTGACTCCATGACTTAGCGCCCACAGTGCATGATCCGCAAGTGACCGCGAGCTCCCCAACGGTCCACCCGTCTTTCAGTGTCCTCGTGCGCGCCCGTGCGTCCCATACAGACCCGAGCTGAGCCACCTTTCACTTGAAGCGGAGAGTCGGCTTTGCCACCCTTCTACTAAAAAGGGATATGAAAAATACCACGGAAGAAGTTTACGAGTGATGCTTAAGGTTAAAGCAACACGTTGTAGGATGAGGCTATTTACAGGGGTTGGTTTAAAGGAAACCCTAGATAACCCTCCTCCTTCTAGCACCACTTTGTTGACGATCGACCGACAACGATTACGGATTGTTTTTAATAGGCGGTTTGATCGGGGGTACAAAGCAATTAATGTGATTAAGGGGGATAAAAGCAAATAAAAGCATGAAAATAAAGAGATGTCGATGTCGCCGATCTGCTGTGGAGATCGACGAGGATAGTAAATTCTCCAGGAAAATATTTATAAGAGGATTTGTAGGGTTGTGTATGTCTCGATTGTTGGTGTGTTGGATGTAGACGTTCGTATTTATACATGAAAAACGTAGAAAAGAAATAAATGTATTTTGCCAGCTAAGGGTATAGATTCACACCGCGTGTATCCATGCATAACTTAATTTTTGAGTATGTGACTGGTTTAGGCGATTGGGCGGTAGTTTTATAAGCTTTAATGGGTCCATATTGAAACATCGAAGAGATCGTCAATATTCTGGAGGAAGGCTCGTGATGAGATCAACAAGAGTAATCTTCTGCCGGTCAGAGGGCCGAGATTGACATACTTGGCCGGTGTTAATTTCATGGCTGCCTGTACTTGGACATGTATAGGCCCATTAAAACAAGCTATGACTCATATATAAGAAAATACATAAAATAACTAAAAAATACACTAAAC